TATATTCTTCTGATCCCTCCAAACTTTCACACATTTCCCCGTCTTCTTCTGATCCCTCCAAACTGTTCCAACCTCTGTCTCCTACCGCATTCCAAAGTCACTTCTACGTTTTTGGGTATCTTTACATCAGCACCTCATTACCTGGTACCAAATTGCTGCATTAGTCCATTCTCACACTGCTAATGGAGACATACCTGAGAATGGGTAATTTATGAACAAAAGAGGTTTAATTGACTCACAGTTCAGCATGGTTAGGGAGGATTCATGAAACTTAACAATCATGTCGGAAGAGGAAGCAAACGTGTCCTTCTTCACATGGCAGCAGCAAGGAGAAATGCTTAATGAAGCAGGGGGAAAGCCCATTATAAAACCATCAGGTCTCATGGGAACTCAATCACTATCAAGAGAACAGCATGGAGGTAACCACTCCCATGACTCAGTTACTCCCACCAGGTACTTTCCACAACATGTGGGGATTATAGGAACTACAGTTCAAGATGAGATTTGGGTGGAGATACAGCCAACCATATCATTACCCAAATAAAATCTTGAGCCCATGTGGTTGTTATATTCAAAGAAATTTAGTTCAGCATCCAAATACAAATAAAACTGCAAATACATCCTGCAGTCTATTTAAAGGGTCAACTTGTTACCAAGAGAAACCTGTCTCAGATGCCCCTGCCATTCATTTTCTGGGTCTGTCTCTCACAAAGCTGACATGATGTCTCTCACTTTTGCTTTTTCCTCTGCATTAACCCCTAAATTCATCCTACAGTGTTTTGTGTGTTTTTTTTTTTTTTGTATTTCCCTTTCTTTTCCTCTGTTTCTCTTTTATGTAAACCTCCATCCAATTTTCAGATTCTTTCCCACACTGATAAACTGGCTATGCACAGCAGAGCACAGGAAAGTGCTTGCCTAAGCTATGAAGCAGGATGTGGATAATCCTATGTAATTCTTTTTGCTCCTGTTACACTGATTTCTGCAACTTTTCTTCTAGTTTCCCAGGAAAGAGACCTTGAAGTAATCTTTGACTTTTCCTGCCCTTCATTATAGTGTATTGTAGTCATAACAGTTTTTTAAAGCTTGAGAATTTAGACAGACTGGAATTTGTGTGACAGTCGTGCCACTTAACTACCACGTGTACTAGTAAATAACCTTTTAAAACTTAACATTTTTTCCTTATATAAAATATATAGAATTTTAAAATTCAAATGGTATTTCTAGATTTGTAACAAAATTGATAGTTGCCCACACCACACATTCCCACTCCCGATTCCTTCTTTTATATTTATTTCTTAAATTCTTTTGTATGTGAGAGAATTCACTTTTGTGTGTGTGTGTGTGAGAGAGAGAGAGAGAGAGACAGGGTCCTACCCTGTCACCCAGGCTAGAGTGCAGTGGCACAATCCCAGCTCACTGCAGCTTTAACCTCCAGGGCTCACATGATCCTTCCACCTCAGCCTCCTAAGTAGCTGGGACTACAGGTGCATGCCACTACGCCTGGCCAATTTTTAAAAATTTTCTGTAGAGACAAGGTCTCACTATGTTGCCCAGGCTGCTCTCCTACTCCTGGGCTCACACAGTCCTCTCACCTTGGCCTCCCAAAGTGCTGGGATTATGGGCATGAGCCACTATGCCTGGTCTTACCTTCATATTTTCTAAGAAAGACTATTTAATGTTCTGTCCTTACTTTTTGGTTGTGTGTATAGTCCATGGACTTCCGAACTCTAGAAGACAATGATTTAACTCTCCCACCCTCACTTCCTAGACTCACACACACTTATGTAAACACACATAAGATCACCTCCCTTTTTTCAAAAAGTTGTAACATCCCTTTGGATTAAACTACCATTCAGTAATTATCTTGTTATAGTTACATAGTTATTCACAGCCAAGACACGTGCTATGATATCCTTTTTTGTACTTGTTTTTACTAAATAACGGCCTCATTTATTTCTTATTCACTTTTTTTTTTTTAAATGGAGTCTCACACTGTCCCCCAGGCTAGAGTGCAATGGCATAATCTTGGCTCACTGCAATCTCTGCCTCCCGGATTCAAGTGACTTTCCTGCCTCAGCCTCCATAGTAGCTGAGATTACAGATGCCCACTGCCATACCCGGCTAATTTTTTGTATGTTTAGTAGAGATGGGGTTTCACTACATTGGCCAGGCTAGTCTCAAACTCCTGACCTCATGATCCACCTGCCTCAACCTCCCAAAGTGCTGGGATTACAGGTGTAAGCCACCACACCCAGTCTCATTTTCCTATCTAGCTATTATCATCATCATCGAGCTCTGAATATCCCCTTTTAAGATATTCACCCACATCGGGCATTCCATGGGATTCACTTTCTTCTGGAGACATGTCTCCCAGAGGCCTCTATCCCCTATTGTAGAAATCCTAGCTTCTGTCCTGGTATTTCCCATCTCCTCTCTCCTAAGCTGGGACTTCCTGTTTTCCAGGTCCTAAATACTATTCTCTTATTTCTTAATTTTGTATAAGAATATCCTCCAGTAGCTTTCGGAGATAAGGATTATCTGAAAATATCTACGTCCTACCCACAAACAGCTAATATACTGAGAGTTGAAGTCTAGGATAGAATTATTTTCTTCAGAATTTTGAAGTTAATGCCCCTCTGTATTCCAGCTTCCTGGGATTCTGTGGAGAATTTCTACGCCATTGTGATTTCCAGTCCTTTAAATGTGACCTTTTCATTTTTCCTTCAGGAAACTCTTTAAGATCTTTTCTTTATCCTTGGTGTTCTGAATGTTGTAGCAATGTACGTTGGTGTTGGTCTTTCTAGGTTTGTGGTGCTGGGCACCTGCTGAGTCCTTTGAATATGAGAATCTATCGTCTAGACCTGGAAAGTTTTTCCTTCTCTTCATTTTCTCTATTTTTCTCTTTTCCTGTTTCTCAGATGTCACATTTGTGGTTTTTTTCCTCTCTCCTTTTTTTGTTCCATCTTCTGAGCAATACCATTGAATCCATCCGGGAGGCCGATGAGCACTGGTCACCTGGTGGGGTCCCCTGCTCTACCTGGCTTCCACGGCCTCCTCAGTCCAGTTCTGCTTCCTGCTCCCCTCAGCATGAGCCTCCTGCACATGAGAGTCTGGTCTCCTAAATTTTCCCTCAGTTTCTTTCCTAGGTTTCCTCCTTCTGCTTGGATTCCTTCCTCTTCTAATCCTTTCTCAGATCCTACTTCTCCTTCCAGGCTCAGTTCACACATTTGATCCTTGAAGCCTTTTCATCCCTGTCTTAGACTGTTCAGACTGGTACAGCAAAGCTCTGGAGGCAGGTCTCAGATCGGGTACCAGCATGGTTAGGTTCTGGTGAGGCCTCTCTTCTGGGTTGCAGGCCGTCTTCTCATTGTGTCCTCCCATGATGGAAAGAGGGCAAGAGAGCTCTCTGACCTCATTATGGCACTATTCGTATTCATGAAGCTCCACCCTCATGATTTATTCACCTCCCAAAGGATTCACCTCCAGAGACCATCAAGCTGGGATTAATTTCAACCTATGATTTTTTTGCAGGGACACAAACATTACAACCCTTACTCCTTACAACATGTTTCACTTGTTGCCTGGTATTTAAAGTATGTTAATTTATGTCCCCAACCACAATAAGCACTCCTTAAGACTCGAAGCCATTTCACATACTTCTTGGTATAACCCCACAGCACTAATCAGCAGTAGGTGCTGAACACCAGTTGTTGATTTTACTACAAGAAAGCCCATCAGGAAACGTAAGCCTTGTATGCTGGAGAGATTCCTTCCCAAATCCTTTAATGAATACGTGGTGCCACTTTAATTTGGTAATGTTTTCTGAGTACCTGATCAAATGCTTTGCCAAAGATTCTGAAGAAAATCAACAGAACATTTTTCCTGGAACAATATTTGACCATTTTATTTCCCTGATGGAAGACTCATTAGCTCACCAGGGCTTATAGCAGCCCTGCTGAGACATACTGTGTATAAGAACAGGTTTGGAGGTACGTCTTAAAAAATTTGGTATTATTAAAATGGACATTTGCCAACAACTTACTTTTCAGAAAAACAAATCAGATTTCAAGGTCGTCACTCACACATGGCTGCCAAATTGTTTGCTCGGTTGTAGAGAAAAGGGTGGAACTGAAGCTGGAGGGGTGGAGTTGCGCATCACTGGAGGCCCACCTGATCTCCTAGCGAAAGGGAGGGTGTCCTGAAAGTGAGTTTAGCCATGTTAGAGACTCTGCATTAAGAAGGCTGAGATTGTGGTCTGCAGAGTCCGAACTCCTTAACATTACGACACAGACCTGCATGATCAGATGGCACCTGTTCCTCTGTCCCCGCCACCAGGTATCCGCAGGAGCCACTGGATTCCTCTGAAGCGCCCAGCCCTTACTGCCATCGCCTCTGCCCTTCCCCTCTCTCCCTGGAATTCTCTCCCACCTAATTCCGGACTGGCAAACCTGCCCGAAACCACCTTTAGCTGAAGAATAGTTGAGAGAGACAATGGTGGCAGTCCGAACACCCAGCCGAGGAGTGCTCGGCGCTGCCTGCGGCCAGGCCGTCCAGAACCGGAGGCGAGGGTCGCACGCCAGGCCGTCCCCGCTCCCTCCCCGAGCGTCGCGGCGGGTCCGGACCGCACGAGCCCCCTGCTGCCCCCGTTTCCGGGCCGGCCGCCCGGGCCGCGCTCGCACAGCTGCAGCCTGAGGCCCCGGGAGGCGGCGGTCCTTCACGCCTGCGGCAGGACAAACACCGGCATCCAGCGCCTAGACACCGTCCCGACCGCAGAACAGCGTGGGAACAAAGAGGTTCAAGGGCGGCGCCCGCCTGGGCAGCTACGGGACTGCGCGACGCAAGGCCCGAGAGCCCCCGCGCGGTTACTGTGGCGACGGGCCGAGGCGTCTCGCTCCGCCGGCGCCTGCGCGCCCCTCCCCTGCCCCTCCCCCGCCCACGGCGCCTGCGCGTCTCATTCTCGCTGCGGTTACGCAGGCCCCGCCCCTGTGAGCCGGGCCGGGTCCCGAGCGGAAGCGCCTTGAGCGGAAGCGGAAGTCAGCGAGGCGGCGGTGGCGGCGGTGGAGGCGACTGGGACTGGGGTGTAGCGGGCGCGTCTGCGGCTGGTGCTGGCGTATCTCTAGGTAGGGCTGGGCCCGAGGGCACCCGCGCGCCGTCCGGGCCCCTCCCGGCTTGTGTGACCGTCTGTTACCCGCGTCCGACCCTTGTGCGCGTCGAGCCCCTGCCCGCTCCCGGATGCCATCCTGGCCTTGCCTCTGTCCTTGTCACCGCGGCTGCGACGTCATGGGATCTTCGCGTCTCCGCCGCCGGGCCGGTCGTCACCCCGGTCCCTGAGCAGAGCCCCCCCGCTGGGCCCTAGTCCCCGTCGTCGCCTTGCCTCCTGCATTTTGAGGTCATCTCTGACCCAGACTCCCTCCCTTAAGATGTGTGTTTTGCTCCTGTGTGTCATTGTTGGGTCAGGTCTGCAATTCACAGCTGCACGACTCTTCTGGTCGTCTCTGGAAAGACGTTCTCTGATCTCTTAACACTTTTCTCTCATCTGTGGGCCATCCCTGAGTCGGGGCCCCAGTTTGTTCTGGACAGACAGACATCGTTCCCTGCCAGCAGGGAGTTTCCCGACCAGTGGGATAACACTGATCGTCAAGCAGATCCCACAATGCAGAAGGAAAAGGTTACCTTAGAGGGTGAGTTGGCCAGGAGGGGCCAGGAGGTTTCCATAAAGGGGGATTTGAACAGTTTTGAGTAAGTAGGAGTTGGGAGATGAACGAGGGCTGAGAGCCAATTCCTGGAAGTAAGAACACGAATATTTAAGATATGAAGGTTTCAGACAGTCTGACATATTCAGGGAACTGGGAGTTGCGCATTTGAGAGACAAGAAACGTTGGTTAGGGATGGGGAATGGCAGGAAGGAAGCTAAAGAGAATGTGGGACAAGGAATTGATGTGATCAGATCTTAGCATTAAAGAGATTAAGTCTGGCAGATAGGGATGCGGTTCAGGGTGGCTGCAGACAGGCAATAGGCTTTCGTAGTCTTTCAGGAACTGGAAACCCCAAAGTGGTAGTGGAGAGAACCTGGAGGTAAAGAAATGAGAGGGTGGGCTTTCTGATGGCTTCAGCCCTTGAGTAGAGAAGTGCAGAGAGGGAAAAGCCCAGAATGGGGACCATGTCTGGAGCAGCAGTGTCCTAACCACCATCTCCCAAATATGTGAGAGCATCTTATCCGCAGCTTTACTCCCAAGTTCCTCTATGTCTAGGGTCATGCATTTATTTTTAAGCTGTCTCTGGCCTCCCCTCCACGTAGGCTCTTTGACCTACCCGTCTTTGGACTTTGCTGTTAGGAGCCACCCTCTGCCACTACAGCCTTCCCACACACTCCGTGTTCTGATGTCTTCATCATCCTATTTCTGCCATCTCACAGCTCCATTAATAATGGGGTTTTCCCCTGACTGTACCATTACTTTTGTTTTGGAGCTCTAATTGAGCCTTCTTACCCTTGTATTCTTGAAAAACACCAACGCCATAGCTGGGTCAGTGTTCTCACTGCTCATTTTCATACACACCCTCCCCCCCTACACACACACACCCCATTTTGTGACTACCTTGACCTTATCTCCCAGTTTTTTTGTTTAGTTTCTGACCACCTAATCTTCCAGACACATTGAAATCTGATCTCCTGTGGCCCACTGAGAAAACTACAATAGGTGACATCTGTGGTAATGTAGTTTTTAGCATTCTGAGATTCTACCCCATCCATGAACTTGATTCTGGATATCATTTATGGGGCAGATTTACTATAAAACTAATGGAATTCAGGTTTTTGGGTCTGTCATTTGCATGGGCCCTACCCAAGCACTGCGACTTCAGAGATCTTGTGTTTATAATTTGTATTCTTTTTTGAAAAGAGGGTTCCCAAATGTTATGTTTCAAGTCCTTCACAACTTAGATTTCTGCAAAACTGGCTGTTTGTCATATTCCGCCTTCATATTTGCATTTTTGTCCTTCAGACACCCTCTCTTCCCTTTTCCACCTCCTACTCCTTCCCCTTCTAGTGTGTGCTTTTTATTTAGGCAGGGAGAAAAATATGTGAATGAATGGAACTGATCAAGTTCCTGCCATAACCTGACTTTATTTAGCTCTGGTGTCAGGAGGGAGATGTCAGAGCTTAGTAACTCAGCATGTTGGGCAGTATCTTTGTAACTTCTTTGTTGCAAGCTTAAATGCCTGTATTGTTAGATTTATTTCACTGCTGAATTGCCACCCCCTTTAAGAAAAGGTTGATGCCAAGAAGGATAGTCGGCTTAATTGAAATCATAAAAGCGGCTCTTAACTCCATGCAAACTAGGGTTACACACTATGTAAATTCACACAGGAATTTATTGCAAGTTTTGATTTATTACTTTAAAAATGCCACCAATTATTTTTACAGAGCTTTATAATGGGTATAAATAACTTTTAATTTGTGTTCTGTTGGAAAATCTTCAGATTTAAAACATGTTTAAAGTTTAAATTATTTATGCAAATATAAGGTATTTCTAGAGGAGTTTTTAGTAGTAGTTTTAAATCTCCCTAATATGAGAAGTAAATAATTATCTTATTTTTACAAATAAGGAAATCAGTAATTTACAAATAAGGAAATCAGTGGTATGCAAAAAGGTTAAATGATTCGTCTTCAGCTGTACAGTAAATCAGTGCCTCTGCTAGCCAGAAAAACCAGCTGTTGAGTACTGTTTTCTTTATAAACAAATATTAATAAAGGGTAATCTGTTTTAGTCAGCTTTTACCAAATTATATCCTTTGGTATATCCATGTATTACACACATCTGTGCACATCTGTATGTATCTACACACTAGGTTCTATAAAAGTGGGCAGTGTTAATACTGTTCCTATTAGGACTTTAGTCCAAATAATTAATTCAATATGTATTTGTGCAAAGTATTATAAAGTCATTTACAATAATACCATGTCTAACAATGACAAGAGGATACTAACTTTTTGGACAGCAGAGGAATTTTCTGGCTAGATGAGGTATTTGCCCATTAAGCACCTAAATATCCCATTTAGGATGGAAATCTTCCTACAGTATATCATTTCTCTATGTTTTTTTTTTTTTTTGAGATGGAGTCTCAGTCTGTCACCCAGGCTGGAGTGCAGTGGCATGATCTCGGCTCACTGCAACCTCCACCTCCTGGGTTAAAGCAATTCTTCTGCCTCAGCCACCTGAGTAGCTGGGAGTATAGGCACCTGCCACAGCACCTGGCTAATTTTTGCATTTTTAGTAGAAACGGTGTTTCACCATCTTGGGCAGGCTGGTCTCGAACTCCTGACCTTGTGATCCACCTTCCTTGGCTTCCCAAAGTGCTGGGATTACAGGCATGAGCCACTGTGCCCAGCCCTCTTATGTTCTTAAATAGAATATGCTGACTGTTATGTAAACTTTCCTCAATTTTCTCAAGTGACCATTTTAAATATAATTTGTTATGTTGTGATGTGAACAGTAGTACTGGTTGGGTTCTTGAGGAATATACAGCTGTTTCCTGTGGGAATTTTCTGCATCTTTCCCCCTTTTTGTTTTTTGAGACGGAGTTTCGCTTGTTACCCTGGCTGGAATGAAATGGTGCCATCTCGGCTCACTGCAACCTCCGCCTCCTGGGTTCAAGCTATTCTCCTGCCTCAGCTTCCCAAGTAACTGGGATTATTACAGTCATGTGCCACCACGTCTGGCTAATTCTGTATTTTTAGTAGAGACCAGGTTTCTCCATGTTGCTCAGGCTGGTCTCAAACTCCCAACCTCAGGTGATCCTGACCTCATGTTGCTCAGGCTGGCCTCGGCCTCCCAAAGTGCTGGGATTACAGGCGTGAGCCACCGCCGGGCACATCTTTCCACTTTTTAAAGTTTTCTGTCAGATTCTTGCTTTGGGTCAGCTGTTAACACTTCTAACTGCTGTCAGTTTTCCTGTCCAAAGTTGTACCTTTATATTTTTCTCTGCTATGGGTTTAGGAGCTAATTGTTAGAACTGATTTAAAAAGGAGTCCGAAGATGATAATAAGAGCCTAAGTGTCTTGTGAACAAGTTGTTGATGCTGCATCAGCTTCTAAGGGGTTTTATAGAGCACAGTGTGGGTAGGAAAGGCCAAGGGCACCCGAGTTCTGGGTTGCTGGGAAAAGCTGGAGACTTCTTTATTCCCAGTCCTCCTCTTAGGGCCCACCCATAGACTAGTGACTAGGAATAACATGAGAAGGAGAGGTCTCAGGTAAGGACACATCTGACAGAGTAGCTCTGTGGTGAGGCCTTTTCCCTACTGGCAGCACGCAGCAGTGGCCAGATCACTAACCTACAGCAGTGCTGAGTGAAGGTTATGGCCTAGTGAGAGGAAGCCTGGCTATGGAGTCAGGCAGATTCAAATCCTGGCCTCCTTGTTAATTATTGCTGTGGCTTCAGGCAGGTGACTGCACCTGGTACAAAGTTTGCTGCCCCTACAAAGCTACTCCTGCCTTCTTTGCTCCTAGAATGTGTCTGACCAAAGAAGCTGCACAAAACTGTTGGTGTGCTCTAATCCCGGCCAGTGGGACTAGAGGGGTTGCCATGGGGCTTTTGGAGTAGACTGCACACACTTAGACAGTTGGGTACATTTCGATACATGTGTTACAGCTCCCACTCAAAGCGCTCTGCTTTTCAGAGGACTCGGAGTCTTTATTTACCGCCTTCCTCAGTGTTCATGGTCTTAGCTGGGGACTTGTCTTATTCATTGCTATATCTACAGCTCCTAACACAGACCTTGGAGCACAGAAAATCCTGAATGAGTATGAGTGAATGTGGGAATTTGGTGGAGTTTAGATCTTTATCTGTGGGGTATAGAAGAGGGTCTCTCTGCCCTTCTTTTTCTTTTGTGATAGGAAGTGGCCCTGAATCCCTCTAGCCTTGAGATTCTCCCAGAATAGGGAGAGAGAGTGGATACTGAACAACCATAACAACTGGTTCATGATGGACCATCTGTCTCCACTCTTGCCTGCCTCCACCCATCCCCACAACACAGGCAGAGCAGTGTTTCCGAAATACACTTGATTGAGTCTTGAGTGACATCCCATTTCCCTTTGGATAAAGTGTAGACGTTTCAGCGTGGT